CTAAAATTCAACTTGGCCCGCAATTCGCTGTGACCTCACTCCTTTTTATGAGCAGCTGTCCTGATACTAATCCTGCTTCTTTCCATAATCCTTTTTTCATGAGACTGGAGAGAACATGTCATGAGCCTAAAGCAAATATACTCTCAGAGGAGCTCGTGCTCCTTCGTAACATGCATCACGCCTGCACTTGGGTTATATGATTGTCCAGTGACTCCACTGCCAAGTCTAAGCTAGAGCATGCTGCCACGTTCACACTTGGGCTCCCAACACAGTGCCTGGCACAAGCAAATGCTCCATGCATATTTGTAGGTTGTCCACCACCATGACTACAATTGTGGGAATGAGACAAGTTAGGCTAGGTTGTTAAGTCCCTTCTGATAGGAAGAGAAGGGAAGAAAAAAATAATTGACTTGGAATTCTATCAGCTAGGCATGGATTTAAGAAAACTAGATTATTTGTTTTAAGAGACTATGTCTCCTGTCCTTTCTATGCCTCTAGTATCCTATAAGGAAGGGCAGATCACAGGCACTTATTGAATATTTTGAATCATACTCTCAGCACTAGAAAGAACTTTGTATAAAGCAAAGCTGCCCGGTCAAGAACTCAAACTTTCTACAAAACCTGGCCAAGTGGTTTCCAGCCTGTGAACATTCTGAAAGAAACTACCTCTTTCCAGCATATTTGTTTTCATGTGTTAGGACTTATTGTTACAAATCATTTGCTCAATAAATAGTTGAGCACCAAATCTGTGTGTGGTCGTGAACCAGACCCTGGGTATATGATAGTGAACACAAAGGACCTTGTCCAGTAATGGACAAGGCTCTGGGTAAGGGTGCCACATAGAAGGGGTTTCTAGTAAAGTCCCTTCGCAACAGAAAGTGCCATAGCTGAAACTGTGGGTCAGCACCTTACGTCCAACACATCTGCCCTACTTGAGGACACAGAAGCAGGACTGTGACTGATGAAAGTGAAGAGGAGCAGGAGGAGGAGGAGGGAGCTGAGTACAGGGAAAGCAGCCTGCACTTGGAGTTGAGAGGCCTTGGTTCCAATCCCAGAGGAGCTCTCTTGCTTTGTCATCAGTCAACTAGGTGAGAAAGCCTATAAGCCCATGGCAGCAAAATAAACATGGACAAGGTCCAACACCCAAAAGTATGAACAGCAGGTCTGGCACACTCAGGCACACTTTCTTCCAGCTGTGACTTTTTCTGGTACTAATTTCCTTCTCCACAAAAATCCTCCAGACTGGCAGACACATAGAAAAGATTCCACTTGCCTGCAATGTTGTCACGTCTCACATCCTTTGCCTATCAAAAATACTGGACCTTTTTGGGTGATTGAACAACTGGATCTAGAGAGAAAGTGAATTAATACCATGAGCCCTTGCTTGGCCCCCCAGTTGTGCAAGCTTCCTAGAAAGACCTTAGCTGGGCTAGGAATTTTAATTTGCCCTAGAGTGAGAAGAGATAAAGTTCTGGACACCATGTCCAATGTCCTTAACATACTATTTATCCTGCCCTGTTTCATATGGAACTAAGATCACAGTCGGGATCCAGGGGTAGAATACAGGATGGCAGTGGTCCCCACCTACACTCCAAGTGTTCCTGCAGCCCCTGCTGATCCTGCCCGCCCTCCCAAGCCCTGGAGGAAGCCCATACAGCTGTTCAGTGCCAGGCACAGGCCCTGGCCAGCCATGCACTGCAGGGTTAGGACATCACAGTGTGATTTCCAAGTACCAAGCAGCTGAGGTTTTGAGTCCCTGGTGAAAGATAGGAGATGGAAGTAGGGAGGAAGAGGGTGGATTTCCTGATTACTTGACATGCACAAGCCCAGCCTGAGCACCAGTCCCGGCTCTGAGGCCATCAGGCCACAGTAAACTTCAGGCCCACTTACTTCCCACCCCTGGCCTCTCATTCAATCTTCTCCTATCTGGAAATGAAGTGTGAGCTCTGAAACTGTGCCTTTCACTCCAAAAGGGTCCTAGGAATGAATGATTCAGTTAAGGCTGAAAAAGAGCCAATTGTCCAGATGTGTACATTTGCTTGGGCACATCTCACAAAGCACGGTGCCATCCCTTCGCCATCTCTGTTGACACAGAGCCCAGCTGCAGGCGTGGGATTCTGCTCCTAGCTTTCCAGCTCCATGTACACATTGCTGGTCTTTCGCTGGGGTATGCTGGGCAGTCTCCTTGTTTCATGTGACTACGCGCCACCTCTGAGGACCCTCATATTGAAGCCCAATGTCAAAGTGCCCCCCTCAGGGCAACTCTTTTGTTCTCCCTCTCCTAAAGAAAGGTCCAAGCAGCATTCATGCCTCTTCAGACAAAAGGAAAAACTGAATTTGCTGATCTTGCTGTACTGGTCACATGTTCTGCTAATATTCACAACTCTCACTGGCTTCTCTCTCATGTTTAGGGCCCACTCTGACCTCTCATTCCAGTTAGAGAGTCCCAGGCTACCCACCAAGTGACTGGTTTGCACACACCTGTAACTTCACCTTTGTTGACTCAGTGGCCTCCCTGAAGAATTTCCTTCAGTCTTCGTCAAGCAGCCCAAACCCCTTCAAGACCTGCTCCCAGGCCAGTGGCTGGGGAGGCTTCAGAATGTGGAACTGTTTGATGTCCTTAGAACCCTGCCAGAATGACAATGACCAGCAGGCTCGATCATGCTGCTGAAGTTAAACATCAACAATTTAAACACCAGCCACAGAATTTGCAAATGGATAAATACCATATTGTGCGCAGGAGCCAAAGAATTTGTTCAAAAACAACCACTCAATAGGTGTCAGAATGGGGCCTTAGTTACAGAGCAACACAGAAGTGCCAACCAGATATATACCCTGGTGTTTCAGAAACCTCCAACAGCAGGGAAACTAACTGAATCTACTCTCCTACCAAGCCAAACATTCCAGATGCTGCAGAGATAAAGAAGAAGCCGTGGGCTATGAACTGTCAGAAACCCCAGTCTCCTATCAGAGATGGAAGTTCAATATGCTCAGAAGAACTTCAGAAACCCCAGATCCTTCTCGCTCAAACAGGCAAGTGAGGATACATTAGGAATAATGTAAACGCATTCTGTGCCCGCCCGCTCCTGATGGACCTTAGGCCCCAGGGAAGGGGCTCCATGCTTCTCTGGAGTTCCAGGAATGTCTCTCCAGCTGGTCCTGCCAAGCTCCCACCAGGCTCTGCTAGACCTGGTTTCTTCATCTCCACACTCAAGACAATGCACCCCTGCAATTTCATATACTGTGAAGTTGAGATGAAGTCCTCTCCCCAATTAGAGTTCCAGGATTCTAGCAAGAGTTGGACTCACTAGTCCCCATCTCCATAGCAGTTAGAGAGATGTGACCCAGGAGTGAAATCTAAGCAACAGAAACCTCAGTTACTCAGGACCACCTTCCTTCCCCCAGTGACCAAGTCTTCATTACTGGATCCAGCTGTCTTGTTCAACTCCTCCTACTCAGAAAATCATTTCCCTGCAGCTTCCTCAGTCCTCAGGCAGATCTAGACATGGTCAATCAAGTTCCCTTGACAGCAGCCCTGTAAACCCCGTCTTGGGCTCAAATTGCTTGTGTCTGCGCCTGTAATCCAGAAGTATCGCCAAAGAATTTGTTCAAAAACAGCCACATGATAGGAATTAGAGCTGAGTTCCCTCAAAAGGAATTAGACTTTTATTTTCTTAAAATTGCCTCAGAAGGCAATGCTAAACTACATTTATTCAATTTTCAAAATAACAGGTATTAATGATGTCTTTGTTTCAAACCTGTTATAATAGACTGAGAATTTAATTAACCTAAACAATGCTATCTCTAAAACAACCATTTAATTTATAGCATATACACTTTTGTAAAAACAATTAAACACCTAGGAAAAAAAACTGTGTAACTGCTCTGCTTTCAAAGTGATTGGAAGAAATTATTCCAAAACCCTATAAACTCAAACACACAATAAGTTCCTATAATTCATAGTTTCTGAAATATACTGACTATAGGGATAAAAATCCATGTTGGAGGGCCTCCCCGGTGGCGCAGCGGTTGAGCGCTGGGTTGCGAAGCTGCCCGCAGCCTCTGCAGCACTGGTTCGATCCCCGGCTGCTCCCCGGCCACCGGAGGAGGGTCCTACATGGCGCGCAGACCTCTCCTGCCGCCCACTGCTCCCCTCAGCAGTTTATTTCGTCAGTCTGCCTGTTCTGCTCCCTGCTCTGGCTCTGGTGAATTCTCTCACCCTCCCGCGCTACTGACTCTACCCAATGCTTATATAATAAATAAATAAATAAATCTTAAAAAAAAAATCCATGTTGGAGTAATTTATCGCCTGCCTCCATGTCTATAACTGCTCAGAAGGCAAAAATCCATCATTCAGACTCACTGGAAACCACCTTTTTTTTTTTTTTTTTTTTTTTTTTTGGCAAAAATCCATTCTGGCCAAGAACTGGGGACCCAGGAAATGGATTTGGGGAGTTGTGCAGCTGTCCCAATGCAACTCACAACATGCAGAAATGAATGCAAAAGTTTCTGTAAGACTCTGGAATAGAGCATTTATGCTTATAAGACAAATTCAACTTCAAGTGGTATTTATAGCAGTTAGTGTGTTGCATCCTCTCTCTCTCTCTCTCTCTCTCTCTCTCTCTCTCTCTCTCTCTCTCTCTCTCTCTCTCTCTCTCTCTCTCTCTCTGTTAGGGAAGCAGGATAGGTATTAACTGTCTCATAACCACAAACACAGAAACTCAGGTGAGGTCAAAGAAAAGCTACCCATGGAGATATTCTCAGCAGATAAGCCCAGACACGAGACATCTGGGTCTGCCCAGCATCGCTGGATCACACTTCACATCGAAAGACAAAGCCTGTCTGCTTCAAGACTGATTGTAGCATAGCTAGCTTGGAGGCCAGCTGGAAACATTTCCAAGCAAGGGTGGACCAATTCTAGCTGTGTTTTTGACAAATAACAGCTGGGGTTCAGCCAGGAGCTTCCCCACCCCACCCGCTCCACCTCCCGTCCCAAGGCAAGCCTTAAAGAAATACAGAGAAGCAAAGGTTCCAGGGAACACAGGGCCCCCAGGGCCACTTCCTAGTAAGCCCTCCAAGGGGGAAAAAACCTCAACACCAAGTTTGGGTGTTATGATGGAATCATTCAGAACCCCATCATGCTATTATTAAGCTCATGTTCTCTTCAAGTCCCTCCTTTAATACTATGCTTTGAGATGCTGGCACTGATTCTGCAAAAACCTCATTCCTGCGGTCCTCCCTGACGGGCTCTACGCATAGTGAGCGCTGGAGGGCACCTTCAAGGCAGGAGGAGGAAGAAGGAATTCTGCCCCTAGTTGGCTTCTGGTTTGCTTTCTTTTTACCTTCTGCTGGCTTCCCAGCCCTGTTCGCTTCCCCTGGCAAGCTTCATGTTCTCTCAGGCAGTGGCAGTTCCTTCCAGAATCATCTAAGCCCAGTTTTCAGTTCAGAGACCCAGCACCATGGAGGATCATCCCAGTGCCCCATCTCAGAAATCTGAGGTCCAGTCCATGTGCTCCATCTCCAAACATCTACCTTGTAATATGTCCAATACCTTCCCTTTGCCCCCCAGCCATGGGGGCCGGGGGTGGGGGGTGGGGTTCGGGAGGGGGCGCCTGGTGATTGCTGCTGGCTACCACTGCTGCCTCCATTGATACCTTTGCATTCTCTTCCTGTCTTCTCAGTTGCCTGGTTAAAAATTCTTCTTTATTATCTCTGGGTGTAATCTCTGTCTCCTGCCTGGACTAGACCGTTTCACCTACAGTTAGGTCCTAAGCCTCCATGCTGGGAAAGAGAGCCGGAACATCCGGACCCCCTGTGACTGCAGTGGGGAGGGACGCACCTGCAGCCCACCCACGGCCGCATTCTCCTCTGGTGCATCTCAGCAACCTCAGCGCACGCAGAGGCCGGGTCACATTTAAAGGACATGAATGAAATACTTGGCCAGTGGAGCTTAATTACTACATGAGCTTGGGGGGATGACGGCGGAAACTCCTTGCTAAACATTTCAATGTTTCTCCTTGCTGGCCAGAAGTGAGCTGTACGGAAGTATCCTTGTCATTGGTTTTCGAGAGAAGATGATCTTGTTGTAGTTTGCCGTGGGGCCATCTCTGGCGTCTTGGTTAGTGGGTTCTTGGACAGTGGAGGCACGAGACACATTGTCCCACACTGATAACATGCTCCCCGACTTCACGTCCTTGAGTAAGTTGTCAGACAACTTGACCAACTTTCTCCTTTTCATCTGGGTGGTGCTGAGAGGCTTGTTGGGCCTCAGTGTACCTCGACTTTCCTCCAAGGTCTTCATGAATTCTAGTTCTCTAGCTTTGCTTTTCTCAATGAGGCTTATCACCACTGGGGCAATATATGTGACGTAGGCTGGCCAAACGTTACATTTTTCAATGAAAGGCCGGGGATGTTTTGGGAGATCTACCAGCAAAGAGAAATATAGACTATTTAGAAGTACACACATACAATGATTCAATTCTTCAAAGAATTAACCACATTTTAGAGCATAATAGCTTGTCTACCACTTGTACCACTTGTATTCAGAAAATAAAATTGGGGCCTCACTGGTGGTGCAAGAGTTTGGGACGCGGCCTGTGAGGCTGTCCGCAACCACTGCTGCATGGGTTCAATCCCCGGCCAGAGAGCAAGCCATATGGCACAGCAGACCTCTCCTGTCTCACCCGTTGCTCCCCTCAGCGGTGTATTTCAATCAGTCTGCCTGTTTTATTCCCCACTCTGTCTCTGGTGAATCCTCTCACACCCCACGCCTCTGGCCTATACCCCAGGTCTTGTATGTATAAACAAATAAATCTTTAAAAAAAAAAAAAAAAGAAAAAGAAAATTGACTCAAAGTTAGGAGACAGGAAGCTATTCCACAGGGTAAGGCAATTAAAGATCAACAAGAGATACAAGAATAGGACACTTGAAGTCCAGCAGGCTTGGTGTCAACTCTTTACATGATCTCAAATTGTTTAACCTCTCAACTATTTTTTCACCACTGAAAATGTTAACATAAAGTAACTGTAAGGATTAAATAAGGTAATCTATTTTAGGGAACTGGAACAGTGTACCCTGGGGCTTAAATGCACTAGCTTTGCTCTTAGACTGCTTGAGTTCAAATTCCTTTTCTACCCCCTTAATCAATGTGAGTCTTGAGCAACTCTCTTAGTCCTTCCAAACTTCAGTTGCCCTCTGAGTAAAAGAGCTAAGAGACTTGTACACTTCACAGATCTTTCTTGTGGAATAAAGGAAATAATTCCTATAAAGCTTTTAGCATAGTACCTGGCATGTAATAACAGCACATGGTAATAGGAGAAGTCTATGCCTCCTTGTCTATTTCATTGAATCCTTATTTATACTTTTCATAGATATTATCCCTGTTTAATGGAGAATGAGACTGCTCAGCTTATGCAACTGGCACATGGTGGGTTTGATCTTAGTAGTAAGGGGCTCAAAATTCCATAAACTTTTCCCTACAGTTATTGGCCAGAAGCTGGATGTTTGAGGGTAGAGAGGCTGTACTAGAAACTTTACCCATTAGTTTAACAAGCAGCCTGTTCCTTTGTAGATATCAAATCATGGGCAGGTCTTTCCTGCTTACTTCCCTTTGCAGCTTCCCTCTGTCTACCAGAAATATCTCGAAACTTCTCTCTCCTGCCGTTGCTACCATTCCCTGTTTAATCAAGTGATACATACCTCCCTAATTTTTTATTTCTTAGGTCATTTCAGTAGGAGTTTGGAAAGGGGAGAGTTAAAAGGTTCATCTTGCCAACTTTAACCTGAATTCAGTGGAAAATACTGCTAAGAAGGGAAAATTAAGATACAGATTATACAGTTATTCCCAGGCTGTCTTGTGGATTTTTGGGAACTGGAGCCTATCTGGAGATAGACCTGTTAGTAAGCAAAAACCTGTTGTGGAATGTTTCAGAAGGTTCTTCTTCCTGCAAGAGTTGTGTTTTATTCTATCCGGGGAAGGCAAGATCCGTGATGTCACCTCTCACTAGGAAATGCACATCAGAGCTTCCAAGCACTGCACATCCTTGTCTCCTTAAAGCAAATGCAACATGCAAATATCTTGCAGGTCAGGGCGTTTGTGGGACCTGGTAGAGGTGAACTAAAACCATCTGAAGCCAATGAGCAGCAACCTTGCTCCTTCTCCCGGACATGCTATGTTCTCTGTCAGTGTAACAAGTGTGGCCACCTGGGGAGCCCCACCTCTTTGTCTTCTGGCACAGAACCCTCAAACCTTTGCCAGCCCCACTGCAGAGCTCCCATTGCTCAGCTTCCAGGCCTACCTTCTGTCTTCACCTTCTTTGCATCCATCTCCTCCTGAAATTCTAGAGGTTTCCTCACCTCATAGCTCCAAACACCTTTAGGAAAATACACGTGTTAGCCAGGGCCATCTCAAAGTGACCTGAGAAGAAAAACTAGCAGCCACCCTGGCATCCCAGGGGCAAGGGTCTGTACTTGAGGCTGCTGGCAGTAGGCTGGATGAGAAACACTGAGGTTATGTCAGTCTCTAGGCTCTGCTCTCTGGTCTACTAGCTTCCAAGGAGTGGGTATGGGATAGACTAGGGGGCTATTTGAATGCTGGACTACAAAAAATGGTAAAGAAAAAAATGCCCCCACTTCAAAACCATGCCATGTTCTCTGCCCGTGTGCAAGTGTGGTCATGTTACTGCGTGTGGGCAGAGTGCCTGCCATGTGGGCTACATGTCTCTGCCTGGCATGACAGGTGGACATGACTAAGGTGGGCAGCAGCCAGAAGCCAACTGCAGGCCCCAGGCTCAAACAGCCATGCTCTACGTGGAGACATGTGTGGGAATTTGATGGAAACAGTGGTCTCCTGGGTCTCACACTTGAGGGTGCATATACCTGGAAGGTTTTTTAGAACATAAATTGCTGGGTCAATCAGAGAGTTGCTGATTCAACAATATCCTGAACAAAATATGGGGAAGAAATGGTAAAGATCAGTAAGGTTCTATTAACTATCTAACAATAAGAAACAGGCCATGAGATCTTTCCAGTCCTAATACATGTGCTTTTATCCCAGAATTCACTATTTCCTATGTTCAGTTTTTCTGTTACTCTGGCCTGATTGCTTAGCATGTAAAAGTGCCACGGAGCATTCCCACAATCACCTGCCAGTCCCCAAGAAAAAAGTCTCAGATTTATTTTTTTCAGATAACTGTAAGTCTTTTATCCAGTTTTGTTTGTTTGTTTTTTTATACAAGAGCCAGGGTACAGGCCAGATGTACGGGATGGTGAAAGGATTCACCAGAGACAGAGTGGGGAACAGAACAAGCAGACTGACGAAATACACTGCTGAGGGGAGCAGCAGGCGAGACAGGAGAGGTCTACTTGCCATGTGGGTTGCTCCGAGGCTGGCAGGGATCAAACCTGCACTGCAGAGGCCGCGGACAGCCCCACAGCACTGTGCCCAACCGCCTGAGCCACCAGGGAGGCCCCAGGTTTTATTGATAATTTACATACATCTCTGCATTAAGTTTAAGGAGTACCACAGATGGTATGATTTACATATATTGTGAGATGATCACAATGGGTTCCTCTAATACCCCATCTTCTCATTTAGGTAGAGTATATACCATAGCGCTGTTTTAGCTACAATGACATAGCTGTACATTCCATCCCTAGGTACTAATTTACCTTAACTTAATACCTGGAAGTTTTTGCCTTTTGACCTCTTCCTCCAGTTTCCTCTCCCCACCTTCTGTCTCTGATAACCAAAAAGTCTGATCTCTTTTTCTATAGTTTTGGCTTTTTCCCCTTTTCTATGCCACATATATATATGACATCAAACAGTATTTGTTTTTCTACTTAGTTCACTTTGAATCATTTCCTCACGTTCCCTCCAAATGGTAAAATTTCCCATTTTTCCTGGCTGAATAATAGTTCACATTTTCTTTATTCATTCATCTGTCAATGATACTTAGATTATTTCTATGTCCTGGCTATTATAAATAATTATTTTGCAGCCATCCCAAGGCAGGTAGGTTGATTCACTGTTGGTTCACGCAGTTTAAAAGAGAAACTTGGAGCCCTTGGCATCATCCCCACAGGTTTTTTAATAGTATTCAGGAGAAATAAGCCAGCAGGGAGACAGCAAGTTGGGTCCCCTGAAATCTCTATGTGCTCCTTCATAAGGACTTTCTCTGGTGTTCTCTCATGACCTCTTCCTCTCATAGTCGTTACTTGTCCTGTCCTAGCCCTGCCATCTCTGTGTGATGCCACCCTTATAGGCTCAGCCTCCAGGCTCAGGTGTGTCCACTTACTCATGTCCACACCAGACTTGAGGTGTCCACCATCAGGCTTGCATGCTCTGCACCCACGCTCCCAAGCACCTCCTGCATTCAAGGCCACCATCTGCATAAGAGCCTGACAATCTCCATTTACCCTGCAATAACGCTGCTATGAATGTAGGAGTGCAGCATCTTTCAAATCAGTGTTTAATTTCCTTTGGATATATTCCCAGAAATAGACTAGCTGGATACTCCATAGAATTCTGAGGATGCCCCATACCGTTTTCACATCAGATAGTTTCTAACAAGTTCCCACATGTTGCTGGTGCTATTGATCAGAAGACCATACTTCGAGAACCATCAGTTTGGGATAACAATTTAACGAGTGCTATCTAGAATTACCTGGGAGCTTGTTAAAACACAGACCCTGGGTCCCATCCCAGGCTTGTCATTCAGTAGATTTGTTTGGGAGATTTGTTTGCATGTCTAAGAAACTCTCAGGGGCTGCTCATGTGGCTGGTCTGGGAACAACGCTTTGGTCTGTGGCCCTGGTTTAGACCAAATAATGGTTCTACATCTTTCTTTCAGCTGCAACATCTGTGAGTGTTGACATGCTCCTATGTGAATCTCATGTTCATGCTTCACATGTGAGACAAGCAATTCCAGCTTTTCACCCCTTTTTCCTCCCATCAAAGAGCCATTGTAGAATGCAAGTGAGCTTATTATTGACACCACATTTACAAGGTAAATTATTCCACTTTACAAAGTAAATTATTCACAATTTCAGCACTTTATTATAACACACCAAAGGATAGCATCTCTGAGATGTATACTCTTTAAAAATAAAGAACTACAGCCTCCAGCCTCCCCGGTGGTGCAGTGGGTTGAGTGCAGCACTGAGAAGCTGTCCACAGCCTCTGCAGCAAGGGTCCATGGAGATTCCCACATGGCGCAACAGACCTCTTCTGTTGGTGCCCACTGCTCCCCTCAGCAGTGTATTTCAGTCAATCTGCCTGTTCTGTTCCCCACTCTGTCTCTGGTGAATCCTCTCACCCCCACACACTTCTGGCCTGTACCCAGTTCTTGTATGCATAAATAAATCTTTTTAAATTTTTTTTAAAAGAACTAGTTTTCATCAAACTTACTCAGATCCAAGCCTTACTGAGTTGCTATTGTTAAGTCTCAGTGGCAACATTTCATTACATTTTCAGGAGAATTCAAAATATCACTTTTTTGAAGGTAGGGAAGAAAAAAACACTCAAATAGTTCTCTCAATGAGAGAGCCTCTTGTAATGACAATTTTTTTAAAGGGAAGTTGGAAGCACCTTAGTCTCCCTTTAAGATCTCAGAAGTTTAGGATTTCAGGATTTCAGATCATCCATTCCAAGTACCCAGGAACATAGAGGATATCACCCGCCAGTCACCTAGCTCATGTTAGTCAACTTCCAAGGACAGAGAATTCTTGACTTACCGTCCCTATTTGTAGAGCTGTCAGAAATGTGTTGGTACTCTCCAACTCATCACTCATGCTAGTTGGTGGGAAAATGTTTTGAGCTGCCGTAATTTTGCATAATTTCTTTCATCCTTCTTTCAAAGTTTCTAAAGTTAATGAACTTTAAAACCTCAAATAAGTCAATTAGCAAATCATTTGTTTTGACAACAATGTGTGTGTGTGTGTGTGTGTGTGTGTAACACACTACCTTGCTCGAAGCTTCTCACCATATGTTACTGTACTCAAATAACAGCCCTCTGGGTTGACAGGACAATTCCATAGAATGGTAGGGTTTTTCTCATACTGACTGATGCAGCCACCAAGAAACTATAAAAGCAGAGGGAATGTTTGAGACTGCTTCTCAAACTCATGGAGAGGACTTGTTTGTTTGAAAATAGAAAGAGACAAATAGTTGACATTAAGTCTGAAGACAAGCTGTGGGCTTTTATAATTTTCTTCAATTCTGGCACAAAGGTTCCATTTTGTCTCCCATAAATGAAATGCAAACCAGCAGTCTACAGACAGAAACAGCATTGACAGGAGGGCCAGGAGGCATAACATTGCACTGGTCCTCTTGTTTCTGCTCCAGGCACAAAGGCCCGTGTTCAATCCACTGTATTTTCAAGCCTAACTCCTCCCACTTCCCACCCAACCTCTTAGCCCACCATTTCCAGAATCTAGTCTGATACGGGCTTAAGTAAGTGTAAAGGAGTAACCCTTGCGTGGAAACTGGCCCAAAATTGTGTTCCTTGATGATGATACTGCACTTCTCAGGAACCCTGTTATCTCACTAGCAAAATGAGAATAGGAGGAATTCCTGCCCTACTTCCGCCACAGAGGCCGGGCTGCTGTAACAAAATGTCTGGAAATTAGAGTGTTTCTAAACCAGCAGCCCCCAGCTTTGCTGCCTATTGCAATTAATGGGGATCTTCAATTAATTCCAATACCTGGTTCCCACCTGGAACAGTGTGATTTAATAGACATGGGATGTAGTACAGGCATCCAAATAAAAAGCTGGACTCTAATGCACAGCAAAGTTTGGGACTCACTGTGCTACAATCTAACTCAAAAACATTCAAGATTTACAGCATATTAACTATGCAGAAATAGGAAACAGGTCCAGGAAACCATTACAGTTCTTTCACAGTTCTAAGACACTTATTTTCATTCAAGAATTATTTATTTTATATATTCAGTCCTGCATATCAGTGACCTTCAAATATTTGAAAGCACCATGGAGTATTTCCACCACCATCTGCCAATCCCAGAATGGACTTAGATCAAAAGAGAACCAGTGCCTTAAAGTACTTGAGCTGAGAAAACTGTGGCTGTGGATGGTATTCTCATGCAAAGCTGATCTCACCCTCTGCCTGCCTGTGGCCACAAGCTGCATCCTTATCTCAGGAAACCAACTTGCGAAGGGATTTCTGGGTTCCAGGCAGGATTCACGGCCACTTCTTTGGCACAAGCCAACCCCATTTGGACTTTTTGCCCCATTAACTCTGTGAAAGTATTTGTACAGTAGTGACAGGCAAGTCATTATCTTTATCCGGTGTTCCTAAATTGTGTCCCAAAAATGCAACAATCTCTTAAGATATTGATAGGTGTTACCTAAAAGGAAAAAAGATCCATGGCAAGGGTCACACAATGGGCACGTAGATCGTTTGATTCAGGGGCACCATTAACAGTGTAATGAAAATATAGCAGACCTATCCTCAGGCAGGTACATTTGAAAATATTCCATTAACACAGGCTTCTGAGCACCTATAATATATTCACTTGTTCTGCAGATCTCCAAGAGAAATAGTCATGTATTCATTTTTCATGTATTCACTGGGTAGAGCAAGTCATGGGACCAGCAACCAGGAAAATGCTTATGTGGATACTGAAACTTCCCTAGTCTTTGCTTTGGAACTCAGCATCAGAGAATGTGTTGACATCAGAGGATGGAAGGATCACCTTGCTTAGGATCTAGCTGGGTTTTCAGTTGCTCTCTTGATCGGAAATCAACCTCAGCAGGTCAGGAGTCCCATTAAATTGTCCACAAAAAGAACAGTCAACATAAGGGCCTCCTGGAAATGAGACCCACTGGAAATGAGACCTACTTCCTTCTCTTTAGCCTCTTTCCTCCCTCTTCACGCCAGTCCACAGGCATCCTTCCTGTCTTGCTAGTGTCTCATCTCTCCCTTTTCTTTCTGAGCTGTACCGAAGAGCCTTGTCTAGCCCCAGAAGGAGACTTGCGCTTTCCCAAACAGGAACCTGCTTCAATTTCATTTCACCTCTGCATTTTAACCTTCTCAACCTTCCATTTCCTCCCCTGTCCTCCTCTTCCTTTTCTGCTCTCTTGTGATTTCTCATTTATTTTTGGCTGAAAAGGAAACTGCCGCTTAGACCAGAAGTGTCTTGGAAGACTTATCACTAAGGTCTGGGGAGATGATCCGAGCATGAATCAACTCAGTGCGGTGCGTGGGTCATGTGCTGATCTCCATGCTGAGTGACTTACCCAGAAGACCCAGAGAGTCCCCGACTTGCAGGCTGATTACATACACTGACTCCCTGTGTTTCCAACATCCTACCCCCTTTAAAATGCTCAAAGCCCCAGGAATCCAGGCCAGCATTTATTTTGCAGAAGGTGGCTTGTATTGGAATGGGAAAATACAGACTTCCCATTAGTCCACCATATGACTCTCCACCTCTTACTTTATCTTATCTATATTTCCACTGGACAAGAACATAGTGCCCCTGTCCCTTGGACACTACAGAAACTCTTGCCATAGCCCTACCTCTCCCAGATGGACTCTAGCAGGTGCATACAAGATCATGGTTTGATGTGCCTTGAGTGACACTGACACCAGGAGCACTGGGAACCGTAGAACTGTTAAGGTAAAGGTGAGTGAGCTGGGGAAGAGCAAATTGGCCCTTCAGGAGAGAAGAGTTGTTATCCCCCCTCTCTTTGTACAACAAAGTGCTGCCTACCTTCTCTTCCTCATTGCTGCCCCTTCCCAAATACACATACATTCCAAGAAGAGGAGAAACAAGTCCCACTATGTGCCCATTAAAATTTGCACATGAAGGGCAGCTTTCATAGTTGTCAGCATATTCTACTATAGACCATGCATCTTTCTGGAAAGAGCAATCTCCAGCCACATCTGGGGCAGGGAGGCATGAGTCCAATCAGAATTGCCTATCTTCCAACACAGACTTGGCATTACTGACTTGCCACTCTTGGTGAGTGGGAGGGGGATACACTGTTTCCTGACAACACTCTGCACTCTACAATTTTTCTCTAAGAATTATGTGTCTACTCTGAGGAACACAACAGTGGAAATTGAATTCAAGTATCTATGGCCATGCAACATCATTCCGTTCTTTCCTGCATTCAGAGAAGCTATACTGAACTCCAAATGCTACGCTTCTAAGAGGTACAGGTCCTGTGCCACTAAGAACCCTTTGCAGATTCTTCATACTTGAAGTAGGCCTACAGAATTATGCTCAGTGAAATAAGCCAGAAGGAAAAAGAGAAATATCGGATGGTTTCACTTATAGCAGGAATATAGGGGAACCAAATAAGATGTCAGTGTAAAAAAATAATAACAGTACAAAACACAATAAATCAAAAACAGACAATTATAAATCAGAGACATCCTGCAAGGGAGGAGGAGGGAGAGGGATCAGAGGGAGGGAGGGAGGAGCACAGGGACTGAGGTGACGGTGCACGGGTGCCTTGGGGAAGGAAACTCTATGGGGACTACACCTGAGGGGGTGGGGGGAAGCAAATATTGTTTAAAAATGAATAATGATGTAAAAAATAAAAAAATAAATAAATAAAATTAAAAATGTAATTTAAAAAATAAATAAATAAAAATTATCACCAGTAAAAAAAAAAAGGAAGTAGCCCTGCAATCTCATATTCAGGAAACCAAGTGTGAAAGACTAAGCAATTTGTGTTCAGAGACCTCTCTCTGCCCGACAGCTGGCTCAGGAGCGTTGGAACCATGAAAAAATGTGGCTTCACAAAGTCTAATCAATCAGAAAAAGGAAGTCCTGCATGGCTGGAACAATGGGGGCATTGTGAGCCTAGGGAACCAATGGGGAAACAGGCAGGCATTTCCCAGGACTGGCCTCAATCATGGGCCATCCTACCCCCTTTAAAATGCTCAAAGCCCCAGGAATCCAGGCCAGCATTTATTTTGCAGAAGGTGGCTTGTGTTGGAGTTTTTGCCCTAAAGCAAAACTAAAGAGTTTCCTTCTATGAGCTTCCCTTTTACACCCCACTTCAGGCTCTGCTCCCAAAATATGTCTTCCTACCTCTAATTTTCTTTCCCCACTAGTTCATTCTCCATTTGATGACTACAAGAGAAATCATTTCTAAATATGTCCATGTGTGCATTCAACAAACATTTACTGAATGCTTATTATGTGTCAAGCTCTACACAGGATATGCCATTCTAAGCAGAGAAAACTGATCACATTGTACTTCTCTTCAAAATATTTTTTACTCCCCATTGCCTACAGGTAAAATGCATGTTTCTTAAACTAGTTCCAGAAAAGCTTCCCCAGTTCAGCCTCTATCACCAAGACCCTGCCCCTTCACCTCTACCCCTGCACACACAGTCACACTCACTGGACACTCCTCACTCCGCTTTCTCACCAAATCTCAGGCCTGTGCTCCTTGGCACTTACTTTCATCTCTGGCACAAATACTCTTCCCACTCCCCACTTCTGAGGGCCTATGTGTCCTCCAAATCCCAGTGTATAGGCTCAGCAATTCGGGAACACTTTCCTAACCCTCCTAGGAAGAGGATTCACCTTCCACTGTGTTCTTGGAGGAAGCCACAAGTGACCATTATAAATAGCATGTAGCACATTAAGTTGAGAAAATCATGAGAGATCAAAAGGCATGGAGTTTACTGAGTCTTGAGTTAACTCAAGATCCTGTTCCAAATCTGAACAGCTGAAGCTAAGAAGCTGAAATCTGGAGACTCCACGCCATACATCCCTGGGACTTACTGCCAAGAGTGATCATCACCCGAAGACATGCCCTTTTTCCAGAACCTGAGACACCATGTCCCCTACAGGCCTCTCAAGAGAGGGCTGTTTTGCCCCTCATGACTCCCAGGGAGACCCTTGTTCTCCTTCCTCCCCATCCCTACCACCATTCGCAAACCCCTTACAGTCCTTCCCCTTTGAAGCTCATGCTGTCAGCCTAGGTCACCCTCTTGCCCTCCTGACTATTTGCCAGTTTCTGATCGCTGTCCTCTGCCCCTAAGTCACTGACAACTTCAGCTCCTGCACTCTGGCTTCCCTGGCAACTTTCCTTGGCATCAGTAGTGGTTTCCTAATCATCTCATAGGAATGATCCCTGCACATCTCTAACCCACCCTTCCTTGGTGACTCCCCTCCATTAGCTGTGTCTTCTCTCAATCTCTACCACCTGCCCCTGTGGTCACCCCCTGTGCTTTCTGTCACCAATAACTGTATTACATCTGAAATGTCAGCTGTGTGCATCCCACTCTGCTACCTCCTCTCTCCTTCCAGCTCGCCCCTTGGGAGCTCCAGTCTCACAATTCTGCCATTTCAATTAACTCGTTTACTTCCCTGAGGCAACTCACGCCTCAGATGTGCACCTGCTTCACTCACCCTCCACCTAAGCCCTGGTGTCGCTGCCCTATTCCATTTCCTCCTTGTCCCATCCCCTCTGATAACCACTGCATTTTGCAGAGTCTGAGAATTATTTTTGCTGTGCTTTGTCAGTTTGCCTTCACTCCTTCTCCCTCTCACTCTGGGGATGTTCTCAGCTAGAATCATCAGGAACTCCCTTGCCTCCCCAACATCACACCTACCAACTGCTTTTGAGCTTTAGTTCCATACCTGCTATAGGTCTCTCTCCCTCCCTTGCCCTTGCCCTCTATCTTGATCTCTCCCTAAACTGTGTTTCTTTTTTTTTTTTAAAGATTTATTTACTTATGCATACGAGAACTGGGGTACAGGCCGAGGTGTGGGGGGGTGAGAGGATTCACCAGAGACAGAGTGGGGAACAGAACAGGCAGACTGACTGAAATACACTGCTGAGGGAGTGTATTAAGCTCCTCACAGACTGTTCAGTGAAGGGTCTGCTGAACTGAACACTGCTGAGGGGAGAAGTAGGCAAGTCAGGAGAGGTCTGCTGCACCATGTGGGTATCTCCCTGGCCGGGGATTGAAGTCGTGCAGCAATGGCTGTGGATAGGTTCATAGGTTGCGTCTTAACCCCTTGCACCACCAGGGAGGCCCTAAACTGTGTTTCTTAAAGCTCACAAAATCCTTAATTTCCAGTCAACTCTCACCCATGTGCCGTCTGCTCTGAGGACCACTTACGCTCCCAGGCCACGTCGGGTACTTACCAGGTTCTGATCTGATCTGGTGCTTACTTCTCGTGTACGGAGGCCCTTGAGATTTCCCGGGGAGGCTCATTTTCCTAGGTTTCTAGGAAACAGAATGAGGAAGGTTAACTGGCATATATATAATATAATGAATGTGGATGATTTGGGGGAGAAATGGACTGTTGAATGTATAAAAAATGGCTGCCGATGCTTCAAAGAGAAAAGAGCCATTATCAATTCCCCAGGGCTTGAGAATGAAGTCTCTTGCAATTGGGAAGAAATATTTGGTTATTAGTTTCAAGCAAATCTTTCTGGGCACAAATATATACAAGTAGTACACAGTGAAACATAACCACTATCCACACAGCAAAAGTGTGGGTAATGAGCCAGGAAAATTTGAAGTTCTGACAAAAGGAGTTTTTGTTGAGTCAGAAATCCAATTAAATAACAAAGGCTTTAATGTCTCCTTGGTGTGGTAGAGGGATGCATTGAATATTTTAAAAATCCGGGAAGGGGCCCTTCACAGAGCATGTTGTGTGAATGTGCCTCTTGCCAGCAAGGTCTGGCTCTTAATATCCACCCTCATGCAGTTTTGCAGCAAAACCCTCTCCTTACTGGTCTTGCTGTTTGTGTGATACTGTCGTGTGTGCATTTTACTATCTCAAGACAGCAACTGATAGAAGAATTAGCCAAAGCTCCTAATGTAGTCAAGCTGCATATTGAACGAATCTTTGGAGTCGACTACAGCATAGAATTAAGGACACAAGTTCAGGACAGGCCAACTATTTCTTAGCTGTTGGACGAAAACAAGATACCGAGGCTAGCTAAGACTCAGAGTTCTCATCTGTGAAACAGGAGCGATAATAGGAACTATGTTTGAGTTGCCAGGAGAAATTTTGTCAGGGGATTATAATTCAAATAAAGCTTTGAACACATGGCTTTAGTCCATTGGTTGGTCTGATAACATCATTAATATGCAAGACTGTGATATATTCCACATACCAAAGCAATGTGGTCCAATTTTCAGGCTGGAGAAATAATGAACAAAATGTCTTACCCAAAAGAGGTGAATAAGTTGAAAATCAGAAAAAAGGCTGAAGCAGGAGGAGGTAGGGAGATGGCTCAGGTGCCCCCCACCAACACACATGCCGCCACATTGATGTCCCATTTTTCACCCATCCCACCTCATCCCCCACTTGTCATATCCCAATAGCCTTGCTTCTACCATCTGCTCACCAAAAGGACACTCTCTGGAGAGCATCCTTGAAAATCAATCATCCGGGCAAGTCTGAGACATTGGTGTCCACCAGCAGCCACATATGTGCTCACACAAACCCCTGAATGGGACAGCAATAGCTCCAGGGATGAGAGAGTCTATGAATCCCCTCCCCCAAACACACACACACGCATAAACATCAGCACACATGTACACACATACGGTGCAACTCTCCAAAGACGCCAGCTGTGTCTGCTGTACAACCTCCAGCTTTGACATCCCTGGTCCCAGCTGAGTTCTATTTCCCTTCTCAGGTCACTGCATCCTTAGTCTAGAATGACTTAATGAGCAAGATTGGGCCAAGAAGTCTCGCCAGATTCCTACTGGGAATAATCTAGAGACTTAGGTATGCAAGCAACATTAAAGGGAATACAGGGTACAGCCCAGAGTTTGGAGTCAGGACAACTGGTTTTAAATCCAACTTCAATTCTTTATGTCCAATCTTGAGCAAGTGATTTAATCTTGCTGAACCTCACCTTCCTCAAACCCATGATGAGAAACATCCTGCCTAATGTTTTCATGATCCAGTTAATTCAGAGAAAAGTAGCTCATGATCCATAAAGATTTTTATAACTGACTGCTTTTGTAGTGAAGGACATGCTTCAAATTAATGGTATAAATTTTCTCCTCTGATTTTGAGTGGGGGCCCGCTTTGGAAGCAAGAAAGATGAATGACATTGGCACCCCAGTGGGGACTAGGTGAACTCTCAGGAGAGCACCTGTCAAGGGAGTTTTATTCAGAGTGATGTAGACCACTTAGAGCCAGTGGCTAATCTTATGCTCATTTGCTTTCTCTAAAGTGAAGGTGGGATAGAAGGGGAGAGTGGAGGTTACACAAAACTAGCTGAGACTCTCAGAGTTACATGCACCCGAGTAGTCTTCAGAATGTTTATCCAATGAAGATACGCACCTCCTTAGAGGGGGTAAGTGTGAGCATGGAACCCATAATGGTTGGGCCCATAATGCTGGGGTTGGCAACCTCCAAGATGGTCCTCAGCAATCCTGTCTCTTGATATTCACTCCTCATAAAACCGCTTCCCCTTGCTGAATGTGGCAACTCAGTTGTAACAAAAAGAATATGGTGAATGTGATGAGATATCACTTCAGAGATTAGGTGACAAGAAAACTTTGACTTCCATGTTGAGCTAGTGCTCACTTTCCCCTCTCTTCTCTCTCTCCTCTCCTCTCTCTCTCTCACTCTCTCCTTCTTTTTTCTGACCTCACATTGATTCTCAAAGAAGTCAGCTGCCATATTATGAGCTGCCTGTGGAGAGGCATGTGTGGCAAGGAACTGAGACCCTTCACAGTCTGTAAGGAGCTTAATCTTGCCAATGACCATGTGATTGAGATTGGAAGTGGATCCTCCATCAGTTGAACCTTCAGATAAGACCACAGCCACAGCCCAAACCATAACTTCAATTTCATGGAAAGGACCACAGACAGAGGTATACAGTTAAGTCCTCTCAGACTCCTGACCCAGAGAAATTGTAAGATAATAAATGTTTTGAGCAATTAAGTTTTGGCGTACTTTGTTACGCAGCAAGAGCTGACTGATATAAACCCTTACCAGATATTCCAAGGGAAAATCTCATCCATGACACTGAACATACAAGGGCTTCCTTCTGTCAGCAGTGGGAGTAATCTCACTGCATCATTCCGCTCCCACCTCTAGGGTACAAATCAATTTCTACTACAAGGAAGGAACATATGTAAGTAAAGAATTTGTGGTTACAAAATACCACAGAAATGAAGTCATCCTCCAATAGCCAATTTTTACAAGCTGTTGTGACCCAATGGACATACCGATGTAGCTAGAGGGTCCAGAGTTAGAGTGAGGAATGGCTAAGGTGAGAAGGGAAGGCTCAAGTTGGTGCTAGAATTCTTGCCTCTTGTATTACTTGAGAGATTAAAAAGCTGGGGTTTTAGTAGCTTCTTTTTAAAACCAAATAAAAATATCGTTAGCATCAACACAGTTGTGTGAAAGCAGCAATCAAAATATCAGGTTCTACAGTATGGAAAGCTGTGTGGCAATTCCTCAACCCACTAAAGATAAAGCTTCCATATGATCCAGCAATTCCACTCCTAGGTATTTACCCAAAGGACAGAGAAACATTAATTCAGAAGGGCACCTGCACCCCTATGTTTATAGCAGCTCTATTTACAATAGCTAAGCTTTGGAAACAACCCAAATGTCCAAAAATAGATGACTGGATCAAGAAGATGTGGTACATATACACAATGGAATATTACTCAGCATTCAAAAAAGATAAACACATGCAATTTGCAGCAATGTGGATAGAGCTGGAAGGGATCATGCTCAGCGAAATAAGCCAGAAAGAAAAAGAAAAAGTACCGGATGGTCTCACTCATAGCAGGAATCTAGCAAACCTAAATAAGGGACCAGGAAAAAGAATAACTATAAGAAAGAAAAAATCAAAATCAACAAACAACTATGAACCAGAGACACACTGTGGGGGGGATAGGAGGGATTGGGGTCAAAATAAGGGGGTTGCAATTGTATAGGGAATATGAAAATAAAATTAAAAAAAAAATCAGGTTCTAATAGAACAATTTTATCCAACCTCACTACATTGATACTGTTTGGGCTCTATCTTGGTCCTGAAGACAGGAGGATTTGCCACCAATCTGCCTTTCACACACACGCACACGCACACACACACTCTCACTCACTCACCATAAAATGAGTTCAGGAATATGTTTCCAGGGCCCAAGAACAAAGCTCTAGAATAATGTGAATTTCAAGACCATTTTCCAACACATACCCTATGTGTCTTTGGGCTGTTCCCATTCAAGATGCTGACAGGCATCTGCCCAGAGTCTGGTAATTCAAAAAATACTCTCTAGAGGGCACGTCTTGGTGGGGTCCCATGAGTTTCCCTTGAATTGTTCAACATTCTAGAATGAAGAAATTATTTTTGTGCATAGTTGAAATGAGGTGCTCCTTTATCTTTGAGCTGATCCTATTAGTTTTCTGAAGTTCTCTGTGTTCAAAGCCACTGATTCAGCAACACTTAATAAAGAAAGTCTTCCTTGGCCATGTGTGCTTATGTGGTCATCTTCCTCAATGATCAATAGCAATAGTTATAGATTACCCCAATCCACCATCAGCTCTAACCAATCATGTTGAGGACAGGTCTTTCAGCCCTAAATTTTAGCCCTCATATCTCTAGACCCCTCTGTGCCTCAGTTTCCTTCTATCTAAGGATTTGGATTCAGGTCTGCAGTTCTCTCTTCTCCCATCTAGCTCTGTCTGCCCGTGTTATTACTAAGACCTCTCACATCAGGCCCCAGTAACAGAATGCACTCAAGTTTCCCAATATCCCACAAAATGAATTCCTCACGAGCCCAACTTCTGGGTTTATAAAGCCGAGAAAACATTGAAGCCCTGACCTTCAAAATTCAGCTTGTTCTCATTCCCTGCTGTGTTTCAAAGGAGAAAGCTAACTTTTGCCCTCTAGGGTGGGAAATGAGAAAAGGCATAGAGTTAAGCCCTAAGTTGAAGACATAACAAACCCCCCTTGGGGGCATGAAGCCCAAGAGCCTGCACTGACAGTCTTTCCATCTACCAAGTGGAAATTCTAGCAGCAGAAGCTGCCGAGCCAGACCCTGCTCTTGCTCCCTCACCAACTGCCGTAAACCTGTTTCTATCCCATTGGAGTTGCAACGTGGAGCCAGAAATCTGGAAGAATTTAACACCCAGTCAGTTCAGACACAGGAAAACATTGTTCAAAGTAAACACTGGAATCCCTCTCTCATCATCCAGGAATGTGGAGCCAGCAGGATTGAGATCAGCAACTTCTCAGAAA